GCTCACCCAGGGCGCCAAACAGGCTAGGACCGCCACTGTGTAGAAATGACGGTGTATCATAAAAGATTGATATCCAACTGATCACTTGACCCATATTACGTTACTTGCTCTTCGAGTGAATTAACAAATGAAATGAAAAGCGAACAGAGAGTCTTATGTGTGTGTTTATTTCATATTTTCAGTTGTTAACCTCCACGGCTAAACAAAGCACTCTGAATCGGTTTCAGTTATGTACTGATGAACACATTAATGGACATAAGAAAAAACTTTCAAAGAAAAAACTCAGGTAGATATTATTTGATATATTATGCTTTGTATGTTGTTCAATATATCTCTATGCAACTCAAGGGAATTTTCAATACACAGCAGTATATTCACATTTGAAACCAAATATTTACATACACTTTAGAGAAAAAACAAAAACTTTTTTTTACTGGTAAACATCAATTTAGGGTAAACGTTTTTGTTTTAGATAAATAAATATTGAAATAACTTTTGAATTAGTGAAATGTCAGAATAAAAAACAGAGAGAGAGCTGTCCATTTTTCCACACCTGTGGATGCATATAACGCAAAATACAGAGCCTGTTTCTTTGACATGGGAAAATCAAGAGATGTCAACCAAAACACCAGGAAAAAGTGTGGCTCAATTTTGAATACAATTTGGTGCCATTTGCAATTAAGAAATACAAACAATTTACCTCTTTACTCTTAAATTTAACAAATATGTATTTTAATATTTAACAATCTAAAAAAGTAAGTAAGTAAAGTTTATTTATTAAGCGCTTTTCATAGACAGGCTGTCACAAAGCACTTTACACAAAGAAAGAAAGAAAGACAAAAATAGTAAGTTAAGTCACAGAATAGACAAAATACATATAAAACATTTTAAGTAAATAGTAAGTAAATTTTCAGTCAGGGTGCTTTTAGAGCATCCACATTAGCTCACGAAATAAAAGTATAGTGTACTTTAACATTTGAGGTTCCAATAGAGTCTTACTTAGATAATGTGAACCATCTCATGGACCTCTTTTTTTTTCTATTATGCATCAAACTTATGCAGATCACTTGTAATTTATTTGAACAAATGTAGGAACAAGCAACTCCTTTTGGGCTTCTGTTATGCATTTACCTCTCACACCTTAAACTAAATGTTAGTGTTCTCAGAGTTAACATATCTCATGTTAAAATCTTGTATTTCTAATACCCAGCCTCAGTGTTCGCCCTGTAGACCCTCAGATGGAAACACCAATGATCTAGATATTCACAAAATTCGGACATTTTTAAGGTCTTACATTTTTGTTGTTTTTATGTTTTACACAAAAAACTTCACATTTTATATTTCCAAATGAAAGCATGTGTCATGGAAAGATAAATTTCTTTAATGATGTTGCTGCCACAATCTCAAATACTAATTATTCTGGGACTTTATGGTCAAACTATGTGATTTTCCAAATGTGTGTGGAGTAAAATGATCCTTTTCTTATGTAATTGTTGTGACCAAGAATCATTCAGGATTAACAACAAACTTTTCGATAGCAGAAACAGTCTGTCTTATAGTTCTCATATGTTACCGCTAGTTTTACAAACACATTCTTCTTTATGTCTGTTTACGTGTTTTTTATGAAACTGATTTTCAATAGTACAAGTACCTTTGCTCTCCAGTATAATGCAATCACCTCTAAACAATGCAAATATTTTATGGCTTTTTATCAGCTGCAACACCATGTAGTACCAGGATGTTAGATTCCCTTTACCAGACAGTGTTGTTAGCCCCCAACCAGGCTAACCAGGCTCCAGGTTTCTGAGCTCTAACCCTGGCTGCCAAATGTGCCCCCTAGGCTCTTGTGCCTTTTACCACCATACTAAGTTTGTAGTCCTATCTACTAATATTATTTTATTATAGCACAAGGTTCAGCTAGGTTACTACTTTACTTTGAGCACATTTTGTAACCTGATACTTTATCAAACTTTTACTCGAGTATTTTTGACACTAGCAGCTGTACTTCTACGTGAGTAAAAATGCACTTTTGCCACCTCACTTGCCACTTTTCTTGAGTTTGTACAATTTTTACATTGACACTTTCAACGTTTTACATGTTATCCTTGATCACAGTTCTAAACAAGCTAACTTTCTTGACATCAAAGTAACCCAAAAAAAGCAAATATATGTCCAGTTCTCTTTACTCCAAACTTGCGGATCGGAAAATGTATGTAATTACTATGCACTTAATGCGTACATATTATTACAATTTGGGCTATAATGGTTGTATTGATGTATAGCAACTTGAAATGCTCCCAGAAATGGCACTACAGCATGTAAAAATATAAAGTAAGCTCTGGCGGACTTGGTTCTATGGTAGGTTTTAAAGGGTTAAGTAATGCAGGACAGGATCACTCTCTGTGTCTCTAAAATCCAACAAACTGGCAATCACCTCTAAATAATGGGAATAGTTTATGGCTGTTTATAACATGCAACACCATGTAACACCTGGATGCTAGACTCTTTTACCTGGCAGTCTTCCTAGCCCCCAACACCCACCCTTTACTTCCAAACATTGTGTCATGCTGGAAGTTTTTATCCTGCCCACCTCCAAAAGCAGTTTACCTGTAAGCCAAAATATTAGAGTTAAACAAATTTGTGAAATCCCTGAACAATACGGGTTGTGCAGTAGCAGTAGTACTAGAACTAGTACTACAGGGTGGGCCATTTATATGGATACACCGTAATGACATGGGAATGGTTGGTGATATTAAAGTCCTGTTTGTGGCACATTAGTATATGTGAGGGGGCAAACTCCTCAAGATGGGTGGTGACCATGGTGGCCATTTAGAAGTCGGCCATCTTGGAATCAACTTTAGTTTTTTCAATAAGAAGAGGGCCATGTGACACACCAAACTTATTGGTAATGTCATAAGAAAAACAATGGTGTGCTTGTTTCAATATAACGTTATTCTTATATATTCTTAATAATCCATAACAGTCATAAAAACACAAACAAAACCGCAAAACACTGGGTCAAATGACCCAGAACCATGATAGTCTCTCTGTCCCTGTCTGTGGTTCCTCTGTTATCCAGAGCACTGTTACAATCATGTACAAGTACACCAAGTACCTGTTTCTCTGTAGGAGCGTCACACATATATCTGTTCCCAGGATAATAGTGGAAGAATTGCAGAGACTCTGTGTCTCACTTCATAAGAGAGGTTTTCTAACAGGGACCTGGGAAAGAGGAAAATGGATGAATATTCTCAGATTTGTTTTAATATTATCCATCAGTTTGCACTGAGCAGATACACACAGATCTTCACACAGATCCAAAATAACCAAACCACTTTTACCCATCATAACTGCCCCTCAGCTGAAGTCTGAATGCTTTGTTTTAATAAAAGAATCTAACAAAAGGTTCTTTTTTATTAATTTAAGGTTTCTGAAATGTTATGTTTGATATTTTGTCTTCTTCTTGTCTTTACATCAAATTCCATTAGGAATAAACCAAAGAGTAAATCTGAGTCCACAGTAATCAGAATCTATGTAAAACATGGAAATTGTAAAGTGTTTACACTCAATATGTTCATTTGTTCCGTTATGTAAAAATCACTCAGTTCATCAAATAAAATCAGTCGTTGATTGGTTGATTGACAGGGCAGATAATCAGAGGTGCAGAGTTGTTACCACCATGATTCAGACTGGGACCGAAGTATGGGTGGAGTTTGTGAGTGAAGGAGCAGCCAGTAAAGGAGTAGATCAAAGCTGCAGCATCTACATCATAAAAGGAGACCAGACCCTCCTCATAATCCACAAACACGCCCACCTTCTCAGGACCAGGCTGAAGACAGAGACGAACTGGAGGGGCAGCACACGCTTTGTACTCATTTCCATTTCTCAGCAGGACAGTCCAGAAACCATTCTGAGGACTGAGTATAATATTTGACCTCCTGTCAATCGACTCTCTGGCCACTCCTAAATCCCACTCAGTCTTTCCTTTAACCTCAACCTCAAAGTAAAATCTGCCTGAAGAGAAACTCTGCTCTCCTAAAACACAAACACACTGAGAAAATCTCTCTGAGTTGTCTGGAAGTTTCTTCTTCACGTCACTATGATACACTTCTTTTCTATCATCACACAGAATGAGAGCAGGATTTGCTGTATCAGGATCCAGAGTCACATCCACTGCATACTGCTGGACCCTCTTCAGCTCAGCCTTAAACAGCTTCTTCTTCATGGGTTTCCAGAATGTCTCCTCCAGCTGAGCCACAGCTCTCACCACAGTCCCCTCATATGATGGTGGACGGACTCTGACCTCTGTCCGGTCCTTGGTGGGTGGAGCAGCTTTCAGGGAGGAGAAGCTGTGGAGGAGGTGGAGATGGTCTTCAGATTGTGAGAGCTGCTCCACCTCAGAGCTTCTCTTCATCAGGTCAGATATTTCCTGTTCCAGATCGTTGATGAGACCTTCAGCCTGTTTCTCTGTCGTTTCCTGTTTGTCTTCGATCTCCTTCATGAGATCCTTCAGCCGTCTCTCAACAGACTCCTTCAGAGCAGTGAGGACCTGAACACCCACTCTTTTCTGTAAATCTGCACGATCTTTACTCATCTTCACTGACTCTTTGATCTCCTGAATCTTCAGTCGTCTCTTCTGGATCATCTGCTGAATCTCAGCCTCTGTCTTCTCCAGCTCTGCCTTCTTTCCTTCATATTCTTCTTTCAGAGGAACAAACTCATGGCTCTTGTGGTCTAAAACAGGGCAGAGCATGCAGACACATGTCTGGTCGGTTTTACAGAACAGCTCGAGAAGTTTATCATGCTTTGTACACACCCTGCCTTCAAGGTTCTCCACAGCATCAATCAGCTGATGTCTTTTCAGACCTTTGACTCTCAGATGAGGCTCCAGGTGAGTCTGACAGTAGGAGGTCTGACACACCAGGCATGACTTCAGGGCCTTCAGTGTGGTTCCAGTGCAGACATCACAGGGAACTTCTCCTGGTTTGGCAGCTTGTTGCTCTGAGCTGCTGACGTTCTGCAGAGCTTCACGTCTGCACTGAGCAACCATCTCAGAGAACAAAGTGTTGATGTCTAGTTCAGGTCGTCTCTTGAACACCTTATTACAAATAGGACATATATATCTTCGATTAGTTTTCCAGTGCTGACTGATGCAGTTTTTGCAGAAGTTGTGTCCACATGGTGTGCTGACTGGATCAGTGAACACATTCAGACAGATGGAGCACGTAATCTGATCTTCAGATTGCAGATTACCGGCAGCAGACATGTCTGCACTGTGAGGGAGAAAGAAAAACAATTTATTTAAAATTCCATTTTGTTTCATTTTTTAAAAAGAAAGTGTCAGTATTTTACTTTTTACATGTGTCCATCAACAATTTTGAGTTATTGCTGCTCTGCTGTGACGGTATGTATACTGTGATGAGCAGATGAAGCACTTTAACCCTCTAAATGAGCAAACCTCCAGGTGAGAGTGAAAAAGTGTGAAAATCACCAGAATGATGCCACTTGTCACAGCCACAACAGATGTCATTGGCAGAGTTTCCACTTTCTGATGGTTCGTGGACCATAAAGTTCTTAGGCAAATTAAAGCAGCAGAAAATGTTATAAAAATGTACCTGGTGTTGAAAACAAAATATTAGTTAAATTTAGTTAAAATTAAATTTAGTTAAAATTAGAGTAGAATTTGGAAACTCCACAGTTTTGATCTATTGGTCTGAGTCAGTGACCCAGTGTTTTGTGTTCTGGTTCAGTTTCCATTATTTGATATTATTCATGGTTCTGTTTCTTTGCTCTTCCTCATTTAATCTTTTGTGTTTCCTGTTCTCTTAGTTATCTTATTCATCTTTAGGTTCTTGTTACTGTGCCTCACCTGTGTGTCATGTTTAGTCTTAGTCTATGCTGTTTTGTCTGGATGTCTCTCGCCCTCTCTCTCCCTCCATGTTCCTCTGTGTCCCTCGCTCTCTCGCTCCTTAGTCATGTCTGTATCTCCCTTAGCTGTTCCCATGTTTGCCTCCTTGTGGTTCATCCATTGCCTCCCCAGTCTGTCATGTGCTTCCCTGTCTGATAAGATAAGATTTGCTGATGGTATTGCACCACCATTTATTTAACTTACTGTTCCTGTTTTTACTATTCATGATGAAAATGGTGGCATGTGAGACAGCTCTGCTGACAAAGCTCCCCTCACTCTGTGACAAACAGAGTATTTCCTCTCAATGCTTCATAATAAAGGCCTGCCTTCACTTTGCTCTTAATGTGAAAGAGCTAACTGAAACAAAAGCACTAATAAAAAGAGGAAATGTGGACTCAGACAGAAGTCAAAAAGACAGAAGGTGCGTTCCAAAACAACCCCCACATTTTTCCAAAAAAACCCCACATTTTTCCCAAAACCCCCCCCAAAAAACCCAGCAATCTGCAAAGAGCAGCACAAATTATTGGCTCAAAAATCCCAACGAGGGAGTGTGAGAGAGAGTGCCGCACGCCTGCTGACCATAACCGTCGAGTGTGCGCTCAGGTGCAAGTGTTTCTCTGTGAAAACTGCCGTTCCAGTTACTATGTTACTGTGACACGTGCATGTAGCTCTAGCAGCATTCTCCACAACAGGTTTTGTGGATTTGGCAGTAAATTGTGTGTCATAAACTTTCTAAGTTACATTTGCATGACTCATTGAAATGTCTTCCTGAAAGTAAAACTCTTACAAACACTTATTCCTTAAGGCCAACCGCAAAATAGTTTATATGCCATTCATAAAACATTAGCACGTTAGAAGACCTCTTCTAACTCCAGAGAAGCCCGATAGACCCGTTTAAGTAAGATCAGCGTTTTCTAATCTTTTGCCATTCTCAGCACACAGCTCTTCTCTTTTCCTAAGTCCTTATCACATCTCCTACCAAATCTTCCTTGACCTCAGTGACGTCTTCATTAAGGTCAAGGAAAGCAGGTTAGGAATATAAGATAGGAGGTACTTTTGGACACCTCGAGGTTCATTCCCAAGTCCTGAGCAGTGCCTCAGTGAGACAAACAGCAAACAGCAGCTCAGTGTTTCTACAGTGGATCTGTGGCTATATGAGCACATTTCTATTGAACCAATGTGACTGTGATGAACAGAGTAATCAGCTGCACTCACCACTGTTGCTGAGAGAAACCTGATGGACAGATGAATCTTCTTTCAGAGACAAACAGGACTCAACTGCAGCTCTGCTCTCTCACACGTTTACTTTCGCTTCTGGAAAATGATGTTAAATTTCTTGCTC